GTGTGTGCTGAAATCTCTTTGGGGCATTTCACCGAACACCTTTTGTGCACCAATTTTGTCTTGTTTTTTTGTTGTTCTTGCAAGACCTCTTGGTCCTCATTAGTCACAACAGCTAATATCTTTTTCCGAACATCTAAATCAACATTACCCGCATCTAATGTATTCAGCATATCATCATCCTTCAAGACAGAAGACCCCTTATTATTTTTCACAAAAATCCCCTTACCATTAGAAGCAACCTGCATCTCCTGGAAGTCGTCAACAGAGCCCTCTTGAATGCTAGCCGAGCATTCCTCCTCCGTCATTTTCTGGAAAATAGTTTTCTTCATGTTTTTTGGGCATTTTTCACAATTTTTCTTGTTGTTTTTACTATAGCGCTGGGGGGATTATTCTAGCAGCATATGAGTTTGGGAATGAGGATATAATTTTGAGCAGCAAAAACCGTGGAAATTTGAGCAAGAATCTTGAGAACACGCCAATAAGAAACTGGACGCAGACTTCAAAATCCTCATGCAATAGGTGAAATTCAAATGAAGGAAATAGATTCGGGAATAATTAAACTTGAACAAAAGTGAGGAACCAATGGAAATTAAACTAAAAAAGGCTAAGGTGTCGTGGATGAAAAAGCTTCCATGGGAGGGAATTTATTTTTCTTTCTCTCTAGCCTTGACTTATGTTTTCAATTTTAATATCATATTCTTGTCTTGTTTCTACATATAGGTTGCTCTTTCTATATAATCTTTGTCACATATTTGGATTTTAAATTTATTTTTTAAAACTTTACACGAATGGTGTTGTAGATTCACAAGTAACAACAGTGGTATAAGAGGTATGAGGAAGTATGAAATCAATTCAAATACATTTGTTTTAAATTACTTTTGGGAAGTATTATATTTTTTAGTGCCACTTATTAGAAAATAGGCACAATAAATTTGGCTTCAGATTTCCTGCACCATATTTGCTATGCCATTTCCTGTTCCATTAATTATAGAGTGAATGATACCATAATTTTTAGAACTTATTTTTTTACTTGAAATTTCCTTAAAATTCTTATCAACCACCGTCAACTCTCTTATGACTCTTCATAAGAGAGAGAAAACTCCTGGGGAAAAAAAACGTGCGCCACTACTCTTTCCCGCCATTAGGGCATCATTAGAGATATTAATCAAATGAAAAACACAATCTCATAGTTTCTCATCTGAAAATAAAATGAAGATCCAAGGATCAATATACGATCTAGTTACGCAATCCACACACTAAAAATTTTCAAGTTCACGCCAATGTAAAATTATGAATGAATTTATTAAACATTGCTATTACTATTGTTCCATGTTACATTTATTAAAAAGAACAGAAGGAGTGCTTGAATATTTGCAAATTGTTTAAACGTCGCGTTTTCTTTGTCTAAGCACTCCTCTTGTTATTCAAGCAATAGGATTTGCAAATATTCAAGCACTCATCATGTTATTGTTCTATGTGCAAACAAAAGAAAGCATATTCAAAATACTATGTCAACCAAGAGATTTTTTTCTTCTGCAGCAAAACATGTACAGTGGGTTATTGCATTAGAAAGAGTATAAACATTAATTTTATTTATGTTTAGTTGGTTTGATACTAATGAGAATTAAAAAATATTCTTACAAAATGAATACTATTATATATGCATTTGTCTCACTTTTGCAACACTTGTGTACTTTTAGTGCCAGGTTTTGGATTATTCTTTCTTCTCTTTTTTTTTTTGTATGGACAAGCTTATAAGTTGAGTCTCACTTGACCTTCCTTTATCCACCTGTAAAAAGAAAAAAAAAATATTTTGTTGGCAGTGAGTGTTGTGCAAATGTATGTTATAATTTGATAAGCTTGTGATATGAATATTCCTACTGATTTTGAAGGCTATGGACAAAAATAAAAGTGCACCTTTCTCGAAGATTGGATTTTGAGTTAGATGATTACTCATCATATTATTTCCCAATGGAGAATGGAAAAAACGGAGGTAAACAATAAGACTTCTTGTCTGTGGATGATGAAGATGTAGATGGACATTATAATTTCCAATATAGTGAAAACCCCGCAAGTGAAGAAAATAGAGATGGACAAGTTCAACCACGACATGCAGAAAAACCTACAGTTGAAAGAAAGAGTGTCAATTTAGAAGCAAAAACTCCATCACTAGGCATGAAGTTTGAAAGTGAAGAAGATGCTTATCAGTTTTATAATGAATATGCGAGCCTAGTTGGTTTTAGTATAAGAAGACACACGACTCATAAAAGCAAAGATGGCAAGATTCTTTACCGAGTATTTTGTTGCGCATGTCAGGGTAAAAAGGAACTAGATAAAAGGGCTGTGAATGTCAAGTTTCATCATATAGAAAAAAGGACTGTATGTGGCACATTAATGAAAATATGAGAATGTCAAGTTTGTCTCGGATCATATTGGACACGGTTTGGTTAGTCCAAATAAATGTCATATGCTGAGGTCCCATAGACATATCACTGCAGCACAAGCTGCACAAATTGAAAGTATAGATATTAAATAGATACCGCCAAAACCCAGTTTCGACTATATGGCTCGTCAAGCAGGAGGGCGTGAGAATGTTGGATTCATCATGGAGGACTACAAGAACTACTTGCGTACAAAGAGAATTGTAGAAATGAGAGTGCACATGATGAGTGCTTGAATATTTGCAACAAAAACAGGTTGAAGTCCCAATCTTCTTTCATGCGATTCAAGTTGATAGTGATGATATGATAACAAATGTTTTATGGACAGATGGCCAAATGATGGTTGACTACATGCATTTGGAGATGTTGTATGTTTTAATACAACTTAGAGGAAAAACAAAGAAGGGAAACCATTTGCACTCTTTGTTGGTGTCAACCACCAAAGCAAACTGTCATTTTTTGGAGCAGCATTGTTATATGATGAAACTGCTCAAACTTTTATGTTGGCTCTTTGATACTTTTGCTAAAGCTATGTACGGTAAAAGCCTGTAACTATTCTTACGAATCATCGTTTGTGCATATGGAACATATATCAAAATGCAACAATCCACCTTAGTAGTGTGTTCGCGAGCTTTAAAGAGTTCTCCAAGGATTTCAGTTCTTGTATATATGATTCGGAAGATGAACAAGATTTCATAAATGCATAGAATGACATGTTAAATAAATATGGTCTCCAAGATAATGAGTGATTAAAAGAATGTTCAATATAAAAGAAAAATGGGCACTAGTATATGGACGAAAAACATTTTGTGCCGATATGACTACTACTCAACGTAGTGAGAGCATGACTAGTTCTCTGAAGTGGTACGTTAATTATAAGCATAACTTACTAAAATTTTTTTGGCATTTTAGTCGATTGATTGATGATCGTCGATATGAAGAGCTGAAAGCAGGCCTAAGAACAAGTCAAAGCACTCTGACACCCTCATTTCCTGTACAAATTTTGAAGCACGCATCAACTGTGTACACACATGAAGTCTTTAAATTATTTCAAATCGAGTTATCTAAGGCATATGATTCAACTATTGAGCTTTCTTCAGAGTTTGGTGCAAAATATGAGTACAAAATCACATGTTTCAGGAAGAGGTATCAAAATACTGTTGTATATGACTCGTTAGAATGCACAGTATCATGTAGTTGCAAATTTGAGTTTGTCAGAATTTTTTGTGCACGTGCTCTCAAAGTGCTTACGACCAGAAACATCGTAAGAATTCCTGAGCTCTACATTACAAAGAGGTGGACGAGAAAAGCCAAAAAAAGGAACAACTGAGAATTTGTCCTGTCTTTACGAATCGAGGCATGAGACTTATGAATTACAAGTATTAAATGGTAAAATGATAATTGGAGAGGGCTATAGAGAATTGTGTATGTTGTACAACCAATTGGCCACCAAAGCTGCATTGAGTGGAGAAACATATGAAATGGCAAAACATGTTCTACTCAAGATGATTGAAAATATTGATGGGAAACTGGAAAATAAAGCAACGCCCTTTGTTGCTCCAAATGAGGTTGTGAGCCACGCATTTACAAGTAGTGATTTTAATTTGATTATTTTCATACAAAATGCATATTTAGTTCATAAACAGTGCATACTTAGTTGATATTATTGTTGTTTATTTAGTTCATAAGAATTGCATATGAAATTCATACTAAATGCTATTTAGTTCATATTAAGTGCATAATGCTGAATGCATATTTACTACATACATAATGTATACTAAGGTCAACGATAGAGTCAACGCCAGTAGTCAACGGGTCTCGTCAAAAGTCAACAAGCAATATAATATATAAATGATTAAAATATTTAAAATAAAATTATTTAAATAAAAAGTTAAATATTAATCACACATCTTGGTACATATCTAGTGGCTAGAATTGAATCTCACATACTCATTTTAAGAATGTATCTTCATTTGAACCAATCCCTATATATATATTGATTAGATTTTCAACAAGTTTAACGTGCTTTTTTCGTACACTTGGACAAAATTTATGGAAGAAACCAAAATTGAATAATGGACGAAAAAAGACATACAAAATTGGTGTACACAAATTTTTTTCCAGATGATAAAATGACAGAGTGCCATCTAATTGTCACTTGAAGTAAAATTCTTCCCTCTTTTCCTCCTTGGAGAAACTCCAAGAGGATGATTGGATATAAAAAATTTTGGTTTTGTTTGAATTTTTTTGTTTGGTTTGGTTAATTTTGAAAAAGTTTGGTATGGTTAGTTGTTAGTGGGTATATTAAATAATATTTAAAATAAAATGATTAAAGTTGATTTGATGTAAAGTAGGTGAGAGAAAATTTGAAGTGATGGTTAGTTAAAATTATGTGAGTGGATGAATAGTGAATTAAGGTAAGGTGGTGTGTAAGAATGATTGATTGATATTATTTAATTATATTGATAATATTGATGATAGTGGAGTTGAGTTAAAGTTGAGTTAAAAAAAGTGGTTGAGTTAAAAATGTTTGGATTTTTTTAAAAAAAATTTGTATCCAAACATGCTCCAAATTTCTCACGTCATTAGGGGGCTCACGAAAATACAGGAAAAGAAAGGGAAAAAAAATATGCTACATTTACTTGAGAGCCAATTTTCCTACAAGTGAATGAGTGATTATTCCACTGGAGTAAAACCTCTCTTTATATACTGCAAACAAGAAAACGGCATACCCTTGTGTCTATCAACCTCAATGGCCTCAGCAATCAAAGCGTTCAAAACCATACTCGAGCCCGAACTATCATTATCCCTGTACTTGCCTAATCCCCTACACACAACAAGCGATATATTGCACAACCAAGGCACGGGAACTATGTATGCAAAACCGCACGTTGAACTCTCTCCCTCTAACAGAACATCTCTATATGCACGGCACACTTGGGATGTATACTTACCCATTGACAAAAACGAGCAGTCTTGTGGGTTTGAGACTCTGTCTTCTAAGTCAACATCCGAGTGAAGGTTGACCACAACAGTCCCGTGACTTGGATGGATTCGATTTTTCAGATTCTGGATGAATGGGGAGTGAGGGTCCCACAATTTGCGGGGGAAAATATCTTCTCCATCATAGGCGTCGATGAAGACGAGGTCATATATGTTAGAATTGTTATTGAGGATGAATTTCTCGGCATCCGAATTGAACAAATGGAGCCGTTCGTGAGTACCTCTCCACATTAAGTTTTCAATCGGGCTGGAGTTAGGGAGAGCCCGTTTGCCGGATTGGGTCATGATTGATAAAGCTGGGAAGCCCATTGCTTGGGTTGAGGCTGAGATTACAATTGGGTCGATTTCGACTATGTGGACTACAGCACCTGATGACGATTACCGAGTGAAAAACAAAGCAAACTTTAGCAAGTAGTGAGATTTTAAGGAAAGAGGATAGTAATGAGTAATTTCAACGAGTGAGTTAGGATCGTTCAGTTGAGTTGAAGACTAGAATTATATTAACATTTAAAGAAAACATTAAATAGGAAATATAACACATCTATAAAGAATGAAGCTTGATATAAGAGTGCATTATTTGCAAGTGAAGGTAGTTGTTGTAATTAGCCTTGTAGGAACGACTTGTGAATCTAATTTTGAACAAAAGCTCCAGGCAAAAAGTTCATCAATACGATTTTTGTCGCTCCGAAATATAAGGAACTTGTAAATTGTAATTATAAATTTAATAAGAGAAATAAACAAATATAGATCTTACTGCCAAACAAGAAAAAACCCAAACGTTTACTCCCATCCTATAACAAGGTGAGATGAGAGACAAATAAGATGAAGAATATAAGCAGACAACAAGTATTAGAATATCTTATCAAACTCATCTGACAATAAATAACCTGAATTTTATATGCATACTATTAATTTTTCCATTTCATACAATGAGGGTCGCTTGAATGAAAATCATCAAAAGAATAATATATACAGATACGGCATAAAGTATTATTAAATTAAAAAGAAAAAAAGAAGTTTCAATTCTAACCTCGTATCTCACTAGCCAAATACAAAGGTATGCTCCCTCCACCATGCCCAATGCACAAAATTTTCATATTTTGTTTCGCATCTATAGCATTCTTCATGAGATCAGAATTACACAACGAGATTGTGGTCAAACCAGTAGATACCATGCTCTTCACATCTGCAAGCAAAGACAAAAAAATCTAAAGATCGTCCAAAATATTCTGCAGGTAAATTTCTAATGATAAATTCCCAAAAGATCATCACGGCGCACAAATTACATGGTATGGCCAAACAATGCGCCTGTTGGATAATGCAAAAAGAGCCAGGATCATTTTCTCTGTATGCGGACATTACTTTTACTGTGCTTTGGAGAGTATTCTCGTTAAAGTGAAGTGTTCTCCATTCATAAGCACAAACTTTGAACTTCTGCTCGTTTTTAGAACCTGGATGCATCTCTGCATACCTCTGTTCAAGCCATTTTTCAGTTCTTCCCCAGTGTAATCTGTCCTGCACCATAATTTAGGTACAGTTGATGACCCAAAAATCGTAAATTCCCGAATTCCCAAGAACTCGCTAATGTCCATTAGGAAGTAAATAGCTACACCAAACAATCCATCCATAGAGCAAACACACCAAGCTTTACATAGAAATAAGCATTAATACAATTTCATATTTCAGAACCTGCTTCAAGAACTACCTCAAAAACACTAATAAAAAGTAGGCTCGGGCAAAGATACAAGTTACATTTCCATTTCAAATTTTCTACTAATTGAAGATTAAATTCGAGATACTTTTTTGAAGATACACGTGCTATTTTTCGGTCAGAAGCTGCAGTTGCATTACATTACTGAAATTGCATTCTACAGAAACACCAATATCTAATTCAGCTTAGTTCAGTGCTGGATTAAATAGAAAAGAGGTCACTTTATTTCCAACACTAATAATACAATACAAACAATGGCTACAAGAACACGCTCAAACACAAAAAAGATAAAAAGTGTAAACTTCAATCGGCCTGAAAAAACATACTTACAGGTTTAGAACAAGGGTGAGCTACTACAGTAACGACGCCGTTTCCGTTTTGTGAAACTTCTCGAAAAACGGTGCGGCTACTGGCAGAGCCGCCGTCCCACCATTCGCCGGAGTAAAACCAGTCGCCTTCGTCCAGCATACGCCGGCCATTAATCGCCGTTGAGAACCGCCGGAGGCTCGACTTTGCGACGCGTCTCCCCAAATTCAGCATTTCTGGAATCGAAATTAATTGAAATGAATTAGCCTAGACCGGACAGGATTGCCTCTCCAATTTTGCTATAATCTCTATAGTTTGTTTATCCAGATTACGGCTCGCTCAATAGAGTAAGGCTCGTGGTGCACAATGTTTGTTTCGTGAGAAACGGGATCAATTCATTTGGGTAATGGAGTAAGATTAGGTGGAGTCTGCACAATAGAGAAGGTCAAATTTACAAATTGTATTCTACGACCTAATTTGATAGCTTTATAAT